TTATCTGTACACATGAACTGAAACTACCTCAACTTCACTGTCCAAGCTGAGAAAAAAGCCAGAAGGAGGCAGAGAGCATTATGAGGGAATAAGATATTTTCTTTTTGCTCCTCTTTTAACCTCCACAGATGCCAGCAGCAGCAAAGCTTTAAAAGATTCTGTTTGTGACATACAGTTTTAAAATCAGTAGTCTCTTTTGCTTCTTGGATTCAGCAGCTTTTCATTTCTGAAACGAAAAGAACATGAAGAACAGGAAGCAAAAGAGCATGAAGAAGTCTGTGGTAATACTGGCAGGGAAGGGGTATTGTCCTACCAAGGACAGGCTGGAGAAGAGAGTGGGAACTGGGAGGGTGTTTCATTTTCACATTCTTCATCCCACTTTGTTTACTTGCTGCCCGCAGAAAGGCTGCAATGCCAAGTGCCAAAATTTTCCTTTTTCACACATACACAAATGCTGTAAAAATCTGTGTTTGCTTTCTACCACAGAAAAAATGGAAACACTTTCAAAGTGGAGAACAGAAAGTTTTCTCTAACACAAGTTCATCTGCTACAAATTGAAGCAGTGTTTTTTCCTTCTTACTAGCTGCAGCCTCACAGCTCACAACTAGCATACCTGCTACCAGCTCTTAGGGGCAATAAGTGGATATTCACATACCAAGGTATTTCTCTGCCCAGAGCTGAAGTCACAGCTGATGAACAGAAAACTGCCAGAGGCTCTCACCCTCTCTAATGGTGCAGAGAGCAGCTGTGCCCATCGTTTTGTTCAGACCTTCTGTAGTGCTCGGAGTTGTGCTGCCCTTGAGCTGTACCCAGCTGTGAGCAGTCTGGGGTCCCAGCATGATCCCTCTGCCCACCAGTGCCACTTGGTTCAGCAGACCCACTGTCAGCCCAGAGCACTGCTCTCCAGAGGCATAAAACCTGCTTTCCTGCACAAGTAAGCATCTGCAAAGCCTAACCTGTATAGAATCATAGAATAGTTAGGGTTGGAAAGGACCTTAAGATCATCTAGTTCCAACCCCCCTGCCATGGGCAGGGACACCTCACACTAAAACATCTCACCCAAGGCTTCGTCCAACCTGGCCTTGAACACTGCCAGGGATGGAGCATTCACAACCTCCCTGGGGAACCTATTCCAGTGCCTCACCACCCTAACAGGAAAGAATTTCTTCCTTATATCCAATCTAAACTTCCCCTGTTTAAGTTTTAACCCGTTACCCCCTGTCCTACCACTACAGTCCCTAAGGAAGAGTCCATCCCGAGCATCCTTACAGCCCCCCTTCAGATACTGGAAGGCTGCTATGAGGTCTCCACGCAGCCTTCTCTTCTCCTGGCTGAACAGCCCCAACTTTCTCAGCCTATCTTCATTTTTGTGCATCCCAGCCCCAGCCCCATTATGAAAGCACTGAATTAGTTTCATGCTCTTGTTAAATCAATCTCCTTCGGGAAAAAAACAGAAAAAAGTAATGCCGTGTATAGTAGAGATTTTTCTGTGCCTTTTGGTGTGATCCTAGTTGGATGCAGTGGCTTGCCTGACATACATAGGCTAAGGTGTTTCTGCTTTGGATCTGTGTATTATTGGAGGTCATAAAAAACTGTAAAGACTTGTCAGCAACCTCTTCTGGGAACATAAATGTCCATGCACATCTTGTAAGTATTATTTTGCTTGGGGTGCTGCAGATGGCAGGGCCACTTTGTCCAGACCAGGACTCCCCACTGAATTCTTATGAGCCCTGGCCTTCTTCAGGCCACTTAAGGATGAGCACATGGGGTTTCTTTGTTGTTGGTTTTTTTTCCTGTCGTCTTCCTTTTCAAAGCAGGGCAGATGAGACCCAGCAGGGTAAGAGCAGAGCAGGGCATATACAAAAACAGGCAGAGCTGGGCCCTTCAGGATGCTCTGCTCCCAGCAAGCTGTGCTCAGTCCTTGGGGATGGCAGCACCACCATACCTGCTCTGAAGTGGGAATACGGTGCTGGTGACTTTAAAATCCTACTCTCTTTCTCCTCATGGCAGGCAGCAGGAGCAGAGCATTTCCCAGGGCAAGTCATCCAGCAGGTCTCGAGGGGGTTTAGAAGTGGGGTGAGGAGCAGATAAATGTGCCAGTCTGGGTCAGCATTTAGGTGGTGCTTCAAGGGAATAGCAGAGGAAAGATGTTGTAGGGAGGGGAAGAAGGGGAGAAAGGGAACTGCATGTGTCAGTTCAGCTGTTAAAACCTACCTACCTTAGAGCGTGCAGCAGTTTGTGTAGAGGAACTTAACCCTTCCACAGCCTATATGTTTATCATCAGATGGATACCATACTGGTACCTTTACTGTGTTGGATAATATACACACTGTGGGTTCTCTGGTGAATCTGATTTGCTCAGTGCAGAGATGGTTTACCTCTGTTTTGTTTCCTGATGCACCAGGTGTAGCACTGAGCACCTGTCACACATCCTCACTTTTTAAGAAAAGATCACTGAGTGTCTCAGAAGAGTATTTTCTCTTGTAGGCTTAGGCGTGGGTGGTCCCTATGTGATATATCATGCCTACTAGTGATCCTACACGCTGTCCCTGCAGTCAGTGAAAGACCACCAAAGAAAGAAGAGGTCATTCCCATAGCAAATGCTACAGGAGCACTTGCTCTGGTTTCCAGATCTAATGTATGGTCAATGTAGGGTTCATAGCATTCAGTGTTGCTGTGCTGCTATTGTGGGTGGCCAAGCGGCCGCACGGGGTTTTTTTGGGTTTTTTTGCTGGTTTGGGTTTTTTTCTTATTTCATCTTGGGCTTACATAGATTGATTTGAATGCTGACAAAAGTGCATGGAGACATGGGAATGTGCTCTGGACAAAGCCAATGTTGTAAGTGTAGTGTCCAAGTAAGCTGTAGGATGCAGACTTGCAAATGCTTTTGCTGGCTCTCTTCCAGAAGGATACAACAGTTATCATATTCCTGGAAACCATACCCTCTTTGTTTTCCTCAGCTGCTTGAGGAAGGGGTGCTTTTGACTACAATTCCAGAGAGTTTAAATGACGATATCTGTATGCTGAAATTGCTTTTTGCCCTGTTTCTACTTTTGAGACTCTTGATGTTTGATTACACTGGAAAGCTGCAGTAATGGAAGCAATAATAAATTCAACATGTTACAGTGACTAATACCATGTTGCTATTTTGATAATCGTTAAAAAGAAGATCACCAAAGGTCATTTTCTCAGCCTGGAGAAGATAAGTTACAACAGGGGAAGTAAAGAACTGGAGTTGTACAGGTGACCCAAAAGAAATTTGCTAAGCGACCTTAATTCTGTGTCTGAGTGTCTCTGGGGGACAGAAATGCCAGATATTGCAGGGCTTTTTAATCTAGTGAGCAAGGTATAGAATAGCTGTGGTTGAAGATTAACAAAGGTCAAAAACAAAATTAGAGACCAGGCATATTTTTTGTACAGTGTTACTGATGATAAATATTGGGATGAGCAGCCCAAGGATGAGGTTGATGAGCTGGTTGTCAGTGTATTCCAAGGAGGTCCAGGGTCTTTCTGGGACACAAGCTTCAAGGCAAGCAGACATGAATGGCTCCAGGCAACATTAAATGGTCATGTATTTTGGTCTGTCTGCTCATCTGAAATTCCCTTCTTGCCCTGTGAATCAGCGATGTTTGCAATGAAAACTAATGCCTTATCATCTTCTATATGGGAGACATCTTCTTTAGTACACAAAAAAAGAGGGTTGGAGTCCACAGAGGAATGAACTTGTCTGATGTGAATATTAGAAGAATACTATCCTCTGTAATAGTGCACACAGTTCATTAAACATCCCAACAACACTGCAATCTCAGTTGTGTTCCTTAAAGAGGTGGGCAAACTGACAGCAGACCTTCGATCCCATACAGAGCTCACATTGGTAGCAACTAGAGTTTGTTGTTCTATATGAAGCGTACACTGTACATCATACAAAGACATGACCTAACAGCTTCAGCACTGACCTGCAGGTTTCCCAGGCTGGCACCAGTTGCCTGCCCGTAGTTTAGCAGGTTGATACATGCTCAGGAATATGTGGATTTCAGGATGCTGAAGAGATGGGGTTGCCCTTTCAGTAAGAAGTCTGCATTTTTGATGCACTGTAGAGTTTTCTTTTGAAACTAGCTCTTTTGAGACTTACAGTGAAGAAAGCACTTGACAGGCTAAAAGAGGGCAGATTACTGCCCATTCAATCCACCATTTCACCTATATTAAGCTTGTTTGGTTCAATATGGTAAGTAGTGACTGCCACAACTCGAGACTGCTTTTGTCTGCTGGGGAGGAGGAAATGTTTTACAATGTTGAAATACCTCATAGTAGTGAAGGATAGTTCAAAAGCCATTTCAAGGTCACATGTACCCAAAGTATACAGAGTTCTCTGCTTAAAATGGTGCCTTCTTAAATCAAGCATACCAAGGTTATTTCAGGTGTGATCACTGTGCTGAGTCTCACAATAATCAAAGCCTGTTATCTGGATCCTTGCGGTATCATGACTCACCAGCTAATGATGACAGTGTCTCACACACACATCAGCGGTTGCTTTTTAAGATATGGAAATCATGAACTCCCCATGCAACTGAATCTTCAGCATTTCTTTTCCTATTTTTGTTAATTCACCTGAAGCTTAGCTCTTAAAATACAGAACCTTCCCTTCTGACAATGACAAGAGGTGGAAGACGTCTCCCTGCTATTCTATACTAGTTTCTTGCAATATAAAGTTGACCAAGGCCCTCCATGAGGCTGAAGGGCTGAAAATGTCTAGTGAAATGTTTGCTGTCCCCACAAGCAAGAACAAAGTGTGTTCATTTAAAACAAACAACAACAACAAATACAACAATAGCAAAATAAAAGTCGCATATAAATGTTTTAGCCTAGGTTTTCTTGTTTGTGAAATCCAGCTTTTCAGCTGATTTGCTGGTGATGCAGTGGTAGCAGTGATGGTTGCTGGTGACATCCTTCTGCTGGAGAACAACCACCTGATTGTGCTGTCTTTTTCTCCACCCCCAAAGGTCGCCACTGCGAGGTCCATCAGATGATTGGAAACTACATGTGGGACCAAAAAGCAAATGTATCTTTTGACATTGGTGTGAATAAAGAAAGCCTGCTTCCTCTCTGGTGGAATGGATCGGAGCCTTTGTGGGTCACAATGATGAAAGAAAAAAAGAATGTTTCCATGTACTACTGGCCAGGTTAGTACGTAAAAAATTGCTACCATCTTAACTGTGCATGGTTACATCTAAGCATTCCACACACTGTAGGATGGCTCTTTAATATAGTTCTGATAGACAGACAAGAATTGCAAGTGCTTTACTAATCACTCATAGAAATTATCTTTTCTTAGGCCATGACAATTTGCGTGTGCTTAGAAAGAGAAAAATTGAAGTGTCACTGGGGAAAGAGATATTGAGTTGCTGGAGTGAGTCCAGAGAAGGGCAACAAAGCTGGTGAAGGGTCTGGAGAATAAGTCTTACAAGGAACAGCTGAGGGAACGGGTGGTTGTTCATTATGGAGATGAGAAGGCTCAGGGGGACCTTATCACTCTCTACAACTACCTGGAAGGATATTGTAGCGAAGTGGCAGTTGGTCTCTTCTCACACATAACAAGCAATAGAACAAGAGGAAACGGCCTCAAGCTGCTCCATTGGAGGTTTAGATGGGATATTAGGAAACATTTTGTCACCGAGAGGGTGCTCAGGCATTGGAACAGGCTGCCCAGGGCAGTGGTGGAGTCACTGTACCTGGAAGTGTTCAAGAACCATGTAGATGAGGCCCTTGGTGACATGGGTTAGTGGTGGCCTTGGCAGTGCGGGGGAATGGTTCGACTTGATGATCTTGACGGTTTTTTCCAAACTAGATCATTCTATGGTTCTATGATTACCTTCAGGAGGCTGGCTTGCAGAGCATCCCCTCCTCCACCATTCACCATGTAGAACATACCCTCCTTCATCACTACTCAGATGAGGTCCCAGTTGCTATGAGTCTGTCTGTTCATTTAGAGAGACTTGGCCTTTCCATTCCTCATTTGTTGGGTATTGGACCACTGAAATCACTAGGGATGTATAATAACAAGTCTTTTTTAACAAATGGGACTATACCCTTAGGGAAATACCACATGGAAATAAATGTGGCAGCTGTGCAGCCAGACCAAACCCTTTGCAAGGTACCCAGCTTCTCAACTTTTTGACCTTTTAACCCTGCTAGCTAAGCCATATGCAAATATCCTCTTATGTGCAACTGCAGGCTATAGGACCACATGTTGGACGAGCTGCACTGAATACAGCCAGTGCCAGTGTGTAGGGCAGGGACAGCTGACTCACACCGTGGGCTCCCAGCCAACTCATCTCTGCATCCCAGCGCATGTGTGCCTGGTCATGGTCTTTCCATGCAATATAGCTAATGGCATCCCACAAAAAAGGCCACAGTTCTTATGACAGGGAAGAAAGAGTGTACCAAGATGAAACAGACTGAAAAGTCATCCAGAGTGTTTCTACAGTACTGAAGAGCAAGAAAGATCTCAGTGTGACACTATTGTCTTACGGACTCAAAGGTAGTCTAAAAGACTAAAGATGCAGACTAGATAGAGGTGATAAAATCATGTAATGGTTTGGTTTGGAAGGGACCTTAAAGATCATCCAGTTCCAATCCCCTGCCACAGGCAGGGACACCAATAGACTAGGTTGTGCAAAGCCCTGTCCAACCTGGCTTTGAGCACTGCCAGGGACTGGGCAGCCACAGTTTCTCTGGGCAACCTGTGCCATCGTCTCACCACCCTCACAGTAAGAATTTCTTCCTAATATCTAATCTAAATCTCCCCTCTTTTATTTTAAAGCTGTTCTCCCTTGTCCTGTCACTGCATGCTCTTGTACAAGGTCCCTTTCCAGGTTTCTTGTAGGCCCTCTTTAGGCACTGGAAGCTGCTCTAAGGTCTCCCCAGAGCCTTCTCTTCTCCAGGCTGAACAAGCTCAGCTCTCTCAGCCTGTCTCTGTAGGAAAGGTGCTTCAGCCCTCCGATCATTGTCATGACCCTCCTCTGGACTCGCTCAAGCAACACTGCATCCCTCTTTTGCAGAAGAAGAGGTATGTGGTACTGTGGGTTATTTCCCAAAGTATGACACGTATCAATGACAAGCACACTTCTGTCTCCCAAAACTTGCTCTGCTGCTGTGCTTCTTGGCCAGTGATGCATGAAAAGTGGTCTTGCGCTATCCCAGTGCTTGTGTTGCAAGCACGGAGATCTAGAATGAGGCAGCTGCTGATGGGGCAGCAAGGCTGGAGCCCTTCCAAGCACAGGCTGCTGTGTGCAGCCAAAAACCCTCTGGGAAATGGAGCCAAGGGAAGAGCAGAGCTCGCTCTCACTCCAAGCTTGCACTGGACAATGGAGCCAGAAAGCACCAGGGCAGGAGTGGTGCCTTGGAGGTGCTAGAGTAGTGGGCAAGAACTGAGCCCTAAGGGCTCAGGGAACCCTGACAAGGATCGGTGCTCAGTGCTACCCAGGACAAGCAGCAGGCCCTGGAGGCTACCCTGCAGTCACCCTCGAAGTCTAGAGAGCTGCATCCCCCTTGATGTCTGGCACGAGGGCCACCTGCATGGAGCAGGAGCAGCAGACCCCTGGCCACAATAGCCCGAAGGAGCCCTTGCAAGGGGCTGTGCTCAGTGTTGCAGAGGAAGACAAAAAAACCCAGGTACACTTACTAGTTCACCATGGGGGAAAAAAAGCCTTCCTGCCCCCAGCTGCAGGGCACAAAGGGCCATCTTTGTGGCCCCCTTTGTGGTGCATGAGCAGCAGGCAGTAACCCAGCCAGAATGGACCGTAGGAGCCCTGACAAGTGATTTTGTTCAATGCTGTAGAGGAAGGCAGCCCTCAAAAAAAACCAACTGCTTCTTACTGGAGATCACCCAAGTGACCTAACAGCAGTGCTAATAGCAGGGTATAGAAACTATACAAGAATGTAGAAATTCTTCTAAAGATTCACAAAAATACCTCTTTCTATAGACTATTCATCTTTAACTACTAGTGTAACTGCACTGAATAGATATAATTATGTACTGAATAGATGTAACAGTCTACAAAGAGCTACTGAAATCCAAAAGAACAGTATCGCTTTCCATTAAATTCCTTTGGACTTTACCTAGCTCCTTCATGTTGCAGTGTCTACCAGGGAGAAGACATGTGAGGTCTACATGTGTGTATCCTTGCAGACATATATATAACCTTTACACTTATCTGTCTGCTATTTCCAGTAGAAAATTGCAAGGGACAATAAAACCTTCCTTTTCCCAGTGCTAATATTGCCAGTATATGCATTGAATTTCTCGTGACACAGAGGCGGATTTTTGTGCATGGATCAGGTATTTTAGCTGTGAACTGTGATGTGTACATCTGTCAATTATTTATCTGCGATAGACGACCTTTGGCAAAGTGCTCAGTGTCTCAGTTCAGCAAACACTTAAGCATATGCTCATTTTAAAGGTGTTCATGGTCTCAAAGGGCACATTGGCCATAACACAGTTAGGCACAGAGCAGGAACCAGGCTGAAATGCAGAACAGCTGAATTAAGAACAGGGCAATTGGACTGCAGGAGGACTCCAGGTTTAACTGGAGTAAACAGAAGTCACCCCAAATGTGATAGTATCTATTACTTTTTCCCTATATGACTGTTTTGAGTTATTTTCTAGTTCCATGGTAAGAATGTTATCCTTTCTAAAACATCTATGTCTATTATTTTAAAGCTTTAATTCTGAACTAAGCATTTGAATGGGCAGCAATGCCAAACAAAATCAAGGAAAAAAGTAAGAGCTTAATAACCAAGGTGGGTAGGGGTCCTATAAACATTTGCACTGCTTATGATCTGCTATTAGTGATTAACTTTTCCAGTCTGAGAATACACTGCTGCTTAGTAATGACGAAGATCCAACCAGGAAAAGTCTGGGAAACTCTTAATAGGAACAGCAATGTACAGCCAAATTCATCACACTTTAGTCTGGAAGATGCTGTTTTCTCTTTTATCAGTGGTAAAGGCAAATGAGACCAATCAAATGTAGCAGAAATGCACTGTGAATGCCAGAGAGCTGATTCCTGAAGTTAACTTACGCTACTGCTGCTTCCTTCAAAGAACCAAGTTCCAGGCTTTGTAAAGTCTGAAGCCAAAATCTGCTACTTCATATTCTTCCCTATGTTCCTTGTTCACACATGGTCAGTGCTTAAAGAAAATCCAGACCCTAGCAAAAAGGGACACAGCGCAGGAGAGCTGTCTGATGCAAACACCCATCCATCACAGCTTTTTCTGTGAGCCCAACATAAACAGAACAAAGGCAACTCATGGGCAGAATTCATCTGGGCTCTCCTGCCACTAGAAACAGAGGAGCCAAAATATTACCATGCTAGGGGTCCCAGCCACTGCTTCTGCCAAAGTATAAGCACTTGTAGGTATATTTTTCTCTTTTCTTCATGGTGTTTATTATGTACTTTCTGCTCTTCAAAGCATTCCTGGGGGAAAATGTCATGTATCCTCTGTCTGCTTGATGGCTAAGTAAAACACAACTAACACCGTACATGTGGTGAAATGCCCAAGTTGCCTGTCTGAAGCACTGACACTACAGTGGATGGAGAAGCCCCAGGGGAGTGCAAGAGCTTCCTGGCAGTACCACCAAAGTCAAAGCTTTATAGTGCTCTTCATGCTTACCCTGGTGGGTGAGGACACCCAAGACCCTCCAGTTCCCTCATTCTCCAGCAGCCTATGCAACTGCTTCAGCTGAGGTGCAGTGACATCTTTTCTAAACACTGAAATGAAGAAAAAGGGGGTGGGGAAAAAGTCTCTAAATGCAACTTTTGTCATTTAAACACAACATTTACCAGACCATCGAGCTAGCCTGGAAAGTTTTCAAAACCCTCTGTTGTGACATGAAGTGTGGGACTGTTAAATCAATGTTTAGAAATGCAATTTAAAGTTGGCAGAGGCTCAGGTCTCCATGTCAGATAGATAAAGAGGAGCCTATATATCACTGTGAAAGAAGTCCTTATTCTTGCTCCAGTAGTTCAGGTTTTAAAATAGAAAGGTCTAGCGTCATACAAAACTGTGCAGAAAGCTATCTAATGCAGCATCTTATTAAATATAGCTCATCTATTTGTAGTTTGATCAAGAAAAACCTAAAAATCCCTTTGGCTGGCTCCAAGTATTTTTAAATTTCCTCTCTCATAATATTTAAATGAGAAAATTTACCACGTGTCCTGGCCTCTACCAAAAAGGAATTTAAATACTAAATGATCTTCATGGCCAGTATTACGGAACTGTAACAAGCCTTAACATCAAAAATCCAATTCCAAGTTCTATTCATCACGGAGTTCTTGCTATCTAAGAAGCCTGAATTTTCAATGTTACTACCAATGAACTACACACTCAAAGACCAATATTTAGGAGCCAAAATGATTTCTAATTGTTGCTGTCTCTGCGGACTTCTATGCCATGCTCATCATTTTACAATCCAGAAATAGCAAAGATATCTCAGCAACTAAAATATCTCAGATCCCCAAGAAGTTAATGCTTCCAGTTAAAATTATCTTATGAGTAATTCTGAGGAACGTTATCTGAGAAAATTATAATATGGTGTAAGTATCTTAAGAGAAAAAAAGGCTCAAAATCATTATATTAGTCACTGGCTATGAGCAAGCATCCACTCAAACTAAAATACTAAGTGTTTCCAATGCATTTTGAAAAGTGTCCTTAAGTTCTTGCCTGCCTTTGGAGCTAAGCTTTTCCCAGACTCAAGTGTTGGAAGAGAAATTGGCTCAGAAGTTCCAGTTCAGTCCTGATATAATAGCAAATCCCATAGAGGACTACTGCATCACCTCTCACATCTGAGGTAGCTGAAAGCCCATGTGTTCCTGCAGGTAGCACCCAGGACATCATGCAGAAGATTGAACCTACACACACTCAGGGTTGGGGGCAAAGACTTCTTCTCCTGGGGATGACTTCAGATGGTTCATGGAATACATTTTAATGATGATTTCGTTAGGTAGAAGCTGAGACCTTTTCTGTTGGACAACATAACCTCCTGAAGGTGCTGTGTATGGATGTATAGAAGATTTACCATGGGATGGTGTGGAGAGTCAGTTCTTGTCTACCAGTCTGCAGGCTTTTGTGGTTGAGACATAAACACCAACGTACCTCCATACAGAAAGGGAAGGATCAAGGTACATTTGGGTCAACAAGGGAAGAACAGAAAGTGAGCACCATCACACACTCCCACAATTTTTATAAAAACAAATATTAGATAGAGGTTCAGAAAGATGTAAATATGTTTTTACAAGAAACTTTACTACATTTTCTGGTTATCATTCCAAATAATTCATTCTTACAAATCATAACAGATGTGGTCCCTCGAAACATACAAACAATGTGGAGCCCTGGGTACTGTTGCCATGGACCACTGGGGGAAGAGACTGAATCCGTCATGTGTGCTAGGGTTCTTTATCTCTTGGAAAGGGTCTGACTTACCTGGCTTTCTGCAAATAAGTGAAGATCTTTTAAGGTTTCCTAAGCTTAAACATTTAGGTACCTTTCATAGTGCTTCTGGGAAGTCACAATCAGAAGAAAGTCTCTTAGCCAGCTTAGCCTGCAAGCAGTGTGCTTTTCCCTGTGTCGCAGTGCTGCACCTCTGTAATGTGAAGTCATGCAGGCTGAGGTGCAAGTAAGTGTCTGACTAAGCAAACCACTGTAAGTCAGCTCTGAAGGTAGCTCTGCTTGCTCTAGTGCCTTCTCTTTACTTACACCTCCTCTGCAACCTTCTTCCCCTCTCAAGCAACAAGTCAACTTATGACCTTATGTCAATGTCTATATTCCTTTCATCCCAAAGGAGAAGCAAAGGGACCCAAATGCAGTCAGATTCAGGCTATGGCTTAGAGTTGCCTTTTTGATCTGACTGCATGGATGTATGCAGAGTCAATTTTGCAAAAGATCTCTTTCTGGTTTTTTTAGCTTGTGCCCCAGGAATACACCAGCAAATGCCTTAACTGTGATGGGAGGTCTCAAAAGATAATTTGCATGAATCTGGTGTTTCTGAAAGCACATTTCTTTTAAATATTAATGCTATTCAGCAGCATAGTAACGGGAGAGCAAAAGGGCAAAAAAGTCCCACAAAAACATGTTTCTCTGTGTTCAGGGCCATGTTCTCCTGTAGGATTTGTTGCCATAAATTTCTGGGCCACAAAACAGACTGCATTTTGTAAGGATGGCTGCAAGTTACCAAGAGACTTAATTGGTTTATACTGTTTTAATAAGACCTCCTGGGAAACAGATTTAATAGTGGAGTGCCAGTATCACATAATAAAATACAGTTTATAGAGGATATTACAACGTAAGATACAGTGTGTCTAACTGGAAAGTATTTGTTGAACTTCCAGGGAACAATATCTAAATCTATTACTTTGGAAGCCTGGAAATGAGGCTACGTGACCACAGTAGTTGAAAGGAAAACAAGCTAGCGGTTTAGGTGGAAACTGTCTGCCCCGAGGGAGCCAAGAGTTTTTGTGTGGGAAGGTCACACAGAGACCTTCCTTTTAGAGAGGAAAATACAAAGGTCCAATGTAAGGTTTGCTGCAAGCACTCGTCAAACCAGCCTCTCGCCCCATTTTCCCTTTCCAACCACAAGGTTTCCTGCAGGGAAGGTGTAAGGTAAATAATGTCACAGGGAACTTACAGACCTGAACCCGGGCCCCACGGTGTGGGGTCTGTGATCAAAGTGGAACAGCAGAGCTTACCACATTTTTCATTGCAGGTTGCGAGGTCGAAATCCTGGGAGTCAGACCAAGCTATTGCCGCGAGTACTTCAGCGTCCCCACAGACAAAAACTTTGCAGATGCCATCAGCGATGCTCTTGAGTCTTTGCGGTACGTCATTAGGGTTCTGCAGGGTGGGGTTTCCTCTCGCAAGGATAAGTGTTTGGGTTCGCTATCAGCCTTGCTCTAGGGAGGTGCTCAGGATTAGATACCAGTAGGAAGATGGGAGCTGAGACTGTTTTGTAGCACTGTCATAGACACATCGCCATAACAGAAATAGGCCCTTACGTTAAGATCAGAAGGTAAGATGTGATCGTTTCCATGAGTAGGTTACAACACAGAGGAGACGTCCCAACTTACTGTTTTTAATTTGCTGTTTCTAACCACTTCAAGATCAGTCTGTGAGTATCTGTTCACTGACCCGCAAGAGCAGACTTTGAAATCCTTGGATTTAGAGAGGGATTCTGGGAATTTGGAAGTTCCAAAATTCACCTCTGGTCACTTGTTTGGGTTCAACACTTAAGCTCCTTCCACATTTTAGAACATCTCAGTCACAATGACTTTCTAGTGGGCATTCCTGTTGTGCAAATATGAACATAGACAAGGCTAGGCTAGGCTAGGATAAGATGGTATGAAATGAAATGAAATGGAATAGAACAGTTCAGTTGGAAGGGACCTATAGTGTTCATCTAGCCCAGTTGATGGGAATGAAGGTACAGACAACTCCTAGGAAAATCATGTTCCACACCCAGCTTTCCAGTTCCACCGTATCTCATCTAAACATTAACAAGTGACAATTACACATAGGTTGCAAAATCAGGGGAAATTGTGTGGAGCCAGTGCCTTACCTTAGCTATAACTAAGCATCCTCTTTAAAACGATTCATATTTGGTTGGTTTCATAATTTATCCAATCTCAGGGTACATTTCTACTTTGCTGCTTGTGTACAGCCATAGCAATTTGAATCTGAAAAGTTCTGTGTTCAGATACTGAGTGCTGATTGCCCATAAAATAAAGGCTCCAAAATTATGAGACTGCTGCTGGAGATGTTGCTCCCAGTTGTACACTGGGTCCTGCTGCACACATGCTCACAAGTCACAGTGTCATTCACAGGCTGGGGCTTAAAGAAGCTGTGTCAGAACATGAAACATTTAATCCTGAAATGATTTAGCTTAGATTTTAAGGAATGCATCTGCATGTGACATGAGGAGGTCATCTGTGCCATCAGAGGCTTTCTGGAGCTTCTGCTACACTTTCAATTCACTGAATAAAAAAGGAAATGGAAGACTGAATACAGACACCAGCTCTGTCTGCTGGTGGAAACCCTGAATTACCATAGAAAGCTTTTGGGTCAGGTATTATTTGGGGATGGGTGAAGATATGCTTGAAGTTTCCTGCCTGGTTTCTATGAAGCATAAGGCTGCTCAAGACATTTTGCAGCTCTGTAATAGCGAACACGATTAAAAGTGAGGCACAAACTGTTGAAAGCTCCAGCCCTCCAAGCTGCTCTGTTGGGTTGCTGGAGCCCATTGAAAGAGTTTCAATAGCTCATTCACCCCGAGTCACAAGGCTGCTTGCTGCTTCCTTCGATGCAAAAGAAGGAAAGTGCAGGGACAGAACAGTGCCAGTGGGGCAGCTCAGAAGAGGTCAAAACTGGTGATTCAAGAGAAGAGCAAATCTCTGCCACCACAATGTCTGCCTTAAACACCAGCTACAGCCTGCTGAACAGCCCAAGTCCTACAGATTGTCCTGGACCTGCGGGAGGTCAGGTCTCTGGTATCCATTTACACACCATCCCTCTTGAATTTCTTGAATAATCATTTGAAGGTGTAAACACTTCAGGGATATACAATAAGAAAGGAGGGGAGAGAATGAACCAATTAAAGATCAGGTAGGTTTTCCTTTTCCTTTCTCTCATTCAATCCTCTTTGTTTAGTCCTTTAAAATTTAGCAGACTGTTGTCAATGCTGCTGTGCCAGCCCATAAGAAAAGCCTCTGAAATGCCCTTACTGTAGTCACATTCATTTATCAGGAGTTAGCATCTCTAGGTAGAAGAACCTTGAGCTGCATTTTACTGTCATTTACATCTTTTGCAAGAGCTTCTGACGCTTAAAGCTGTTCAAAGGCTGGCAAATGCAGTGTGTTTCCTTTCCACACCCCAGCTAATTGAAAAAGCCCATTAGGCTGAGGCTGGCACTAGCTCTGTGTGGGAAAACAGCCAGTGGCAAGGGCAGTCTGTCGCCTGGAGCAGTGCCTTGCTCATAGCAGGTATTAGTAGTTAATGAACTGCATTTATGCTCCCACCATGCAAACCTTACAGGGACTTCAGGGTAGAGAGACTGTTTGCACCTTGATGGCCTAGGGGTTAACCTGAATTTGGTTACAGGAAAGTCCTGGCCCATCTTAACTTCACCAAGGTCAAAGGGAGTTTTATCAATGCCCTCTGCAAGAGCAGGAGTATCCAACTCATCAGGCCGCTGAGCTCCTCTTGCAACCAAAGGGAGCCATCCTTCAGGAATATTCTCCAGTCTCTTCAAACAGATGCTTTGAGACCATTGTGCAGACAAAAAGTACACAAAACTAAGTCAAGCACCCATACTAGCAATTAAAACTAAAGCCTCCCTTATCTCTTCATAACTGTAATTTAAGGGCTGTTGTAGTCTACCTGTCTTTCTAGACAGATGTTATGAAGTTTGTGTGGTACTTGCAAAGCGTATTGATCAAATATAACACCCAGTATTGCCATTGATGCTGTCCAGCTTTCTTCAGCAAGCTTTCCTTAGCCATTTCTGTAAGAAGTACTGATGACCGGAGAAGACAGGACTAACAGTTAGAAAGACAGATTACTTCTTCTTTGCAAGCCCTGATCAAAGATACCAGGTTTTCCTAGGAAAACAGGTAAAACAAAGGCAAACCCAACCTTACAAGCTCTGGATGTGCTGTACACAATCCTGCAAACTCCTAAGCATGCCCCATAACTACAGCTTCTCCCACTGAAGTCATGTGCAAAGTTGAACATTCAACTGAATATACTGAGCCCTCACTGTGAAGTCTCACTGCAGCCTAAATAAGACCGTTTGTTTTATGCAGTAAATCTCTTTCTTAGCTTCTGTCTTGACTGAAATGGTCGTTTAGTCACAGGTGAGAATGCACAAAGCAGCCTAAGAAGCTAATTAATACAGGCAGCGCAGCAGAAGAAAACTATTTCAATAGGTTCACTGAGTGTGTATGCAGTGTAGGAATTACAGAGTTAAATCTTAGCAGTCAATTTATGCCTAATACAGATGGAAAGTAATGCTTACATGAAGCTGGGGGCTGTGAAGGACTGCTTCGTTTGAATGATTTTAGAATCATGAAGAGTGAGACAGAACACTGTTCTACAGAGCCAGCAGTGGAGAAATTCCCACCACAGCGAGACCTTCAGCTTCCTACAGGGCTGCTCCTCTGAGGCCTTCAGCAAACTTACAAATGTAAATGGCAGACCCTAGTTCATGCTTAAAGTCCCTCACCTCTGATGTCTTCTCGTCTGTCTCACTCATTACATCACATTAATCTGAGAATCTGGACCTGTCAGGACATCACACAAAGTCTTTTTGTAGGGGTCTTGATCTGGATGAAGGCATGTATTGTGGATGGCACACCCTGTCATATCTTAATAACAGTAGAAGAAGACTGTGTTTGAGCTTCATGAGTGTAGATTTGTGATTTTATCCACACAACTGCTCTCAGGGAGCTTTACAGTGAACCATGAAGTGGACATGAAAATGTAATTAAGCCCTGATGTATGCACTATCCACACTAATTAGGCTGAAGGCATTCAGTGCAGAAATGTGTGATCAGCTAAATTTGTGCAGCTCTGAGATTACCGGTGCTTCCCTTAATAATAATTAAGTTTCCCTTAATAATAAAAACACCACTGAACATTTCTCCCCAGTTCATACCACTTGGCAAGGTCATGGAAAAGCTCGTCCTGAGTTGACCTTGGTGATTTGGAAGACCTCACGCAGGAGAAAGACAGAAGCGCCAAACTTTAATTAAAGCACATTTTACTGGTAATTCCCACAATCCTTTTAATAACGGAATTCAGCACAGAAATCAGTATTTCTTCTGGGTCCTTCTTTGTCCTTAAAGGAAAAGCTGCCTTCCTTATTCAAAGAGGCAGTAGAGGGCTGCCAGGCCAGCCTTTATCTGTACATGACAGTCTGTACCTGGAAGCTCTGATGGGATCTCAGGCAAACTCAGGGGACTCTGGGCATGAACAGAATCATACAATGCTTTGGGTTGGAAGGGACCTTAAAGCTCATCCAGCTCTAACCCCCTGCCATGGGCAGGGACACCTCCCATTAGACCAGGTTGCTCAAAGCCCCGTCCAACCTAGCCTTGAACACTTCCAGGGACGGAGCAGCCACAGCTTCTATGGGCAGCCTGTGCCAGTGCCTAACCACACTCACAGTAAAGAACTTCCTTATAGCTTACCTGAATCTGCCCTGTTGAAGTTTGAACCCATTACCCCTTGTCCTATCACTACACTCCCTTATGAAGAATCCTTCTGCAGCATCCCTGTAGGCCCCCTTCAGATACTGGAAGGCTGCTATGAGGTCTCCTGCTATGAGGAATAATGAGCCCAGCTATGCAACAGCAGGTAGGAAAGCACAGGCTGGAAGCAGAAAACGAGGTTTTGTAGCTCTGTGTGTGGAAAGGACAAGGTTGGCAGCCAGGAGCAATCCATGTTCATCAGCCTCTCACTCCTTCACCTCCCTCCCACCTCCAGCAATGGCAGTGCAGAGATGGCCGCAGTGTACTATGAGCGTATTGACGTGGAAGGCCACCACTATGGTCCTTCATCCCAGCAGCGTAAGAATGCTTTGAAGGAGGTGGACAAAGCCTTGAGCAACATGATCACGCTTATCAAGGTGAGTGGCATCCGAAAAACCAGCTCCCAGCTGAGTCTGGAAAAGGCTTTTAAACCTGCCCTTTCTGGCATGGCCAAGAGCTTAGTTCCTGCCTGTTAGTTGGGTTTGTTGGCTGTGAACTTTCAATTCCTGAGAAAAAGAGGCTACCAAAGAGACATGGATGTCAAGGCACCATTCCCCTAATTTTATTTTCATCGATGCTGTTATAATCCTCCTAATGGATTATTATACCGATAGTCCCAGGAAGCTGTAAACCAATATAGATGTTGCTCTGTTTATAACTTGTGTTGTTGGCTGGGCTTTATAGTAGGCAAACAAAACAAAACTGTTTGCTTCCTAAGGTTTGTGGAATCACACAATTAACTTTTATAGCAGTTTTTATGTGCTGTTCAGAACTCTGTACTTTAAACCTTGTTTTAAAAAACATTATCTAAATGATACTGCAGTGAGAAAAGGAGGACACAAATCTTTTGGTCAAATGTCAGTTCTGTGAATTCTTCTGACAATGATTGGAGTTCTTTAGGAGTTCCAGTGAGGAGAGGAATATGTATTTTAAATTTCACTAAATTATAAAAGCTCTGATGCTAAGTGTTTGTGCTTGGGAGGAGAAGAGAGGAACACTCCAGCCACAGGTAGCACCATAATGAAGTTGCTCTTCCCCAGCTGTTTTGGCCTACATATGAAGAACAATTGGGTAAAATCCTGTCTAGGACCAATGGGACAACTAGTTTGTGGGGCTGGGATGTAGGACTTGGTTATTTAGCAGCGGCATGGATTTACTTTGGAAAATCTCTCTTTGGAACTAACCTCTCAGACTCTTCCAGGGCAGCAAGTGAGAGTCAACGTCCACCAGTGTGGGTGGTAGCAAAGCACATTGCAGGGCATTTGTGGCCATGCTCCTTCTGGCCAACTTCCCTTAAATCAGTGGGGTCAAATGGGGATTAAGATTATCCAGTGGGCACAGTGTGAAGCTCTAACCTGTCCTTAACGGCTGTCATGCACTCACTTCACAGAGCAAGGGCCTTCAGAATGACGTCAATGTCCTCCTCTTCTCTGATCACGGGATGACAGACATCTCCTGGGTGGACAAAGTGATTGAGCTGAAAAACTATATCAATATGAGTGATACCATACAAATGAAGGACAGAGGACCTGTTGTGAGCCTCTGGCCAGCTCCAGAGAAGCATGCGGAGGTGAGTGCAACTTAATTGTGTTTACTCAGTTTTATGTTTCCTTGATTTTTATGACATTTGTCTCTTTTGTTTGCTCACAACATCTAAGTCCTGCTCCCAGAGATATGTGTAAAAGTTAACCTGGGGCTCTTATTGGGAGTCAGATTTAGGTCCTGTGACACTCTTGTGACACTGGTTTCTGGAGGGAAGTCACAGGAGGCAAATTACAAAGCATGAACTTTCACCATTATTTGGCACAGATAACTGTTTTCAAAGCCCACCACTATGTACTGCTGATAAATAGCTAAAAGATTTTAGTTCAAAATCCGTTTTCAGGATTTCTTAAACATATATTAGTTGATTCTATGATTCGATGATTTATGGACACTCCAGCTGGGATTTCCAAACAGTCAGCGGCAGGTCTGGCATTCATATTCCAGTAAAGTTCCATAGAGTTTGAGGAATCACTCCATTAGTCTGGAATTGCAAAACATAATTCTTTACAATATTGTCCTTTGAAGACTGTTGATGAATAAGTGTGTTGGATTGAATCAACCACAAAAGCCCAAGGCCAGAACTGCAGGATTTTGAGGGACAAATTAAAACAATACAGAAAAAAATTGAGAAACCACTTGAAAAGAATGAAAATGCAGCATCTGTAACTAACAGACTAGTACTTCAACCAGAAAGCAGGGCTTGAGACGTCACTGTTGCTGTCCTCAATATGGCTGAGTGGATGTACAGAACAGGCCACGCAAGCTCCAGGTGAATAACTCTGTTTTCTGTGTTATGTTTTAGCCAGGTCCAGTCTATTGTAGCTTATGCAGAATTTGTTTGAAGAGAATCCTTGCTATGTTTGGTCCCAAACAGGCTCTGCAGGAATTGTGTAGCTGTGATATTCTGAACATTACAAATTAGTGCCAGAACTGAAAGCTCACTTAGAGGTGTATGTAAGCAGTTCACAGTCAGTGCTCCTGTAAGGGACTGCAGCGTTTACATGTGCTCTCCTCATCCTGAACTCAGAGATCTCTGTTTTTGTATGCCAGACCTTCAAGCAAGGTCAAGCACAAGTTGCAACTTCATGCAGACATGCGGTCTCTTCTGACAAAGCTCTCAAGTACATGCTTCTCTCTCATTAAACAGCATAATATTCCTAGGAGAATAAAGTACAATGCCTTACACCATGGTTTTGTTTTCTTCCTTCATTTCTTTTTAGGACTTCTTACTGGAGTGTTGCTTTTCTACAGCAAAATAAAGTTGATTTTCTGTTTCCCAATAGCCAGGCTCCTCTATTCTTAATTTACTTTAAACACACATGTTTAGGAATTAAATAGTATCATAACATAGAGGTTACCACCTTTAAGAGTCACCCCATTTTGAAGCACCTGAGGTACTGGTGAAACACCAGGACCACTCTCCAGTCCAGGTCATGGTGGGAGGGTCTGGCTGAGTGGCACCATCACACCCTGGTGCCATCCCTGTGGCAACTACGTATAAACACAAATCTCTTGCACACATATACATACACACAAGTGGACATAGCTAAAAAGCTAGTGAAGAACCTTTCATTATTTGCAGAATTGAGCTATTTATTCCTGAAGATTCTATATGTTTTTGAAAAAAAGCAATGTGTGTTCTGGGGACTCCAATAATGGCCTTCTTTACGGCATATGAACATCTTCTTTAGGCATTGAAAGTATTTGTCTGAATAATTTGTCCACATTTGCGTGACTGTATTCATGACAGTATGATTAACATTAATAAACCACTTGTAGGGCATTGTACAACTTCAAAGCCTCAGGCATTGGCTGATTAACCTCACAGCATCCTTACGAAGCAGGTAACTAAGCACTATATAACTATGATAGGGATTGACTGGTTATGTGTTAAGAAACACAGGTGAGATGACATTAGCTGCTTGCTTAAGAGCACAGAGAGAGAATAGGTGGCATAGAATAGAGGCCAAAGCCAACATCCCTTTTCTGCGTCTGTACCCAGTCCACATAGTGCTTTTGGGCATGTTTCACCACTTAGCTTACTGTCTCCTGTGATGGTCTGATTTCTACCGGTCTACCTCTGTAGGTTGGTACACTCGCATATATTCATTGAGTGCATGTATTACAAATGCATATAATACCTGAATTCATGCATTCCTATGTGTTTATGATCCAAGTTTTGAGAACCTGCTAAACCACACATACAGTCACATCTTTGGATCAGAAAAGTCCCAGTTTGAATGTGCCATTAAAGGAGCTCAGCCATTTTACAGATTTAGGTGTTTCTGGGTACCCATAGGTGTGTATATGTTCTTTACAGCCATGAGGTGTCCTAACATTTGTTTTCTTTGCAGATATATCAGAAGTTGAAAGGTGTGGAACACATGAACGTTTATAATGTACAGGATATTCCAGACCGGTTTTTCTATAAAAAAGGAAAATTCGTGTCTCCTCTGACTCTCGTGGCTGAGAAGGGATGGTTCATAGTAGAGGTAAAATAGAGAAACAAAATACTTATACATGAATGTGGAAAGTTGCAATATATATGAAAACAATCAGAAAAACGTAACAATTCCAAGTGTTACATCCTTCACTTGGGCTGACTACAAAACTGATGCCAAATATTGCAGTGTGCTCGCAACAGCCTAAAGGCACAGCAGCTCTGCTGATGGTAGGCAAAGTTAAATAGTCAAGGTGGTTCTTTTTTCTGCATTGTCATAAAACAGGAGGAGTTTTGTTTCCCATTCCAGTTTTATTGCTTTACTTCTCTTCCCCCTGCCTTCACCTCAGACAGAATAAGGTTGTTTCCATTTCAAGACCTTGCTGTCCCTCTATTCAGCTGTACTTTGTGGCAACTTTTGCTTCTGCCTGGCTTCCCACCCACCAGACCCTGTCCTAAAAATACCTAATTTCCCCCGTGTCCTCCAGTCTCAAAAGGGTCAGACTGGGGAGTTGCTCCTTAGAGATGCTCGGCGCACACACTGCAATCTGGTAGCTTGCTAAGCACACAAGAAGAGATTTTTCATAACAACGTATGTTGTTACTATAATTATTGTCTTTAGTATTTTGTCCTTGTATCACCACTGATCGTCTCCACATTACAGCTATTAACAGCATCTCCGACAGCTCAGAGGTGAGGCAGCTTACATAGCTTCCAAGTGGGTAAAGTGGGAAGCAGTACTGAGTGATTTGCCCAAGGCCATACATTAAGTCAGTAAGGTGGTGACAGAGCCAAGGAGTTTTTACACTGTCCCAGTGTAGTCACTGCCTTGCAGATCACTGTAACTCAGTTGAGCATCTTCTCTCATGACCCTCAGAGCTACTGCTCACCAGGCTTTGCTCAAGATGACCCACACCACCACATTTCTCACTATCTAACCTGACTTTAGGGTAATAATTCCTACAGCTGAGTACAAATGTGCCTCTCCAAAAAACTCCAATTGCTTTTGAGTGCATTTCTGTTTAAAACCCATTTCTGGTTAAAAAGAAAATATACATATAAAAGCTGGAGTTCAGATTCAGGCACCTGAAGCAGGAATCTGAACCATTTTTGCCAAAACAACTTTCAAAAATTGCAACTCAACCCTTTTGTATCAAACTCAACCCAGAACATTTTTACATATTCTGTGGGAAAAAAAGAAAGGCACTTTAAAAAATATCATTGAAACTGTGACAAACCTTAATAACAGTGCAGCAAACACTGCTGCCGTGGTAATTATTGCTGTCTCTCTGCCCATTCCTTCCCATTGTTTCTGATTTTCGAGAATGTCCTCTCATTGATGCTGTCAGGTTTTCCTTCTCCTCAGTACATTTTCATTGTCTGTGAAGGGGATGTGAACATGAAAGTTTCCTGTCATGTTTTTAAAGCAATAATTGAGCCTTCTATTATACTTTCTGCCCAAACCACTGCAGAGAGGATGTTTAGCTCTTCCTTATCATGCTCACGGGGTGTTTTACTCTCTGTTGGATAGTGGATAGCTATAAGCTGTTTGAAAAAGGGGAATCAGGGGGAGGGGAGGGGAGGAGGAATGTGTCTGAAAGATCCATGTTTTGTTGGGTTTTTTTCCAGCAAGGAGCATAGGAACAAAGCCATCTGCATTTTGGTTAAAGCAGGATGAGGAGGGATTTCATGAACCTCCAGCTGTATCGAAGCTGGTCTGCTGACATTATCTCAGTCTCTCCACATGAGTGACAGGTCCCTATCCTTTGAGCAGAATGTTCCCCAGCTGCTCTTCTGCACGCAACAATGGCTTTAATCCTCAGGGCTGCGTGCTCACCCTGCATACATCCCAGTGTACTTCCCAAGTTTTAGGGAACAGGTGCTGTACAGCTTCTAAACTTGCACAGCACATGCAGGGGAAAGTCCGTTACCGACAGTCCCAGACATGCCTGCTTCATCCTTGAGGAGCAACGCTAGACCAGCCTTGGGCTGAGCCTGAAAAGTCACAAAGTTGAGTCCTTGGTCCCACTGGGCTTGCCAAAGCAGGCATGTCAGAGTGCTGCCAGTGCCCTGGCTCCAAAGGAGCCTCGGGGCTTTGTGGGGTTTGCTATAAGGCTTCCAGAGCCTGATGCACTAGAAGGGCAGCACTGCGATGCTTGCAGAGCCCTTTCCCTCAAGCTGCTGCTGCTAACGGCTCCATTTCATGAGCTCCCACTTCAGCTGCAGCTGTGAAAGAGAGTACTGTGTTTTCTCTCATCCAGCTGGCAGCGGCTGTGACTGCACATCTAGCTGTGAACAGGTATCTCCTGGTGTCTTGGTGGGTGATGGGGAGGCACACTGCCTCCTGCGCTTGACATCCCTGGAGGAGCAGCTGAGCCCACGACACCTCACAGGACCATGGAGGGGTGTAGCTTCAGCAATGTCGTGATACTGCCAAAGAAACACCACAAATTAGAGGTGGCTTGGCTTGTGTGAAGCTGTTGCTAACAAAAGCAGTACAGGTTGCCTGATGGTGAGCAACCCAGTGACAATTAGTCCCCAGGAACCACAGTAAGCAGAGCTGCAATGTAAGGAGGTGCTATGGTAGGAAGAGGGGAAGGAGTCTATTTTCCCCTTGGCTTGCTGAGTGTTATCAGTGAAATAGATGGGGACAAGGAAAGACATTTAATTTGTCAGCTAGTATTGTTTAATTATCTGGTACATCTGCTGGGTCCCCTGGAAAACAGTTGGAAAAGCTACACCTCATAGCCATAATCTCTGCTGTCCTCAGTGCTCCTGCACTTGGGAAGAGGAGGAACATGAAAATCAGGCAAAATAAATGTTTGCAAAAGGAAAGGGATCCTTGGTCAATCTGCCTCACTATCTGCAGGGGCTGCAGCACCACTCGTACCACTCATGGGAATGTGGGAGAGACTCTGCTAGGGCATCTTCTGTGCTTCCATGATGGAGTGTGAAGCCCAGACCTGGCTGCTTAGGGAACTGTAGCTCCTTTTCTGCAGTGACTGGAGAAATTAATGCCAGGGGTCTAATGAACTGACAGCTGATGGTTTTGACTAAGTTATGGGGATATCTGTAGTGTCATATCTGCCGCCAGCCCTAGGGAGCATAGGACAAGAGAAACTCACAGAGACGTTGGTCCAGCATTTTGGGCAGCCCCTATGGACTGCTGCTCCTGAGGGGGCACTGCTGTAGGTAGTCTGGTAAGAGCTGTTAATACAAAGCAGAAGAAATTAAGGAAGGAATTTAAAAGTATGAGTTAAGTGCAATATGGACAAGGAAGAATGAGAATTATGATGACAAATTATTAAAGCACGGATGCACTTAGCAGGGATAAAAAACAGAGTTGTCTATGCCAAGGAGAGGGGACTGAGCCTGTGCTCCTCAGTGCTCTAATACTAAAACAAGCAGGGAGAAGATATAATAATCATTAGAAAGTATATAGCAGGGGTGATATTGTATTGTTTAGGCTGACTAGCCAAACGAAGCAAAAATGGCTCTTTTTTCTATGTTGCCAATGGCATGCTAGGCAGAACAATGCACCGTCAGACCCATCCTAACACGCAGTGGGAGAGGGACACCAGCATGCTTAAATGTGTTGCACACAGCTGTGATACTTTGTGCTCACAGCAGAACTTTGGATGTGTGAGAGGCACAAAGTTGTCCTCCCTGCTCACCCCGGAGGTGGGCTGCTGGCTGAGGCGGCAAAGCGGGGGGGGCTGGTGGGGTGGTACAGCAAGTGGGGGTGCAGCATGGCACCCCACAGCACCCCGCACACAGCCCAGGAGACAGGCACTAACTGTGCTCTGCTGTCGTTGCCCAGAGCAGGGACAAGCTCCCCTTCTGGGAGAACGGGACGGGGAGGAAGGAGGCCTGGCAGAACGGCTGGCACGGCTACGACAACGAGCTCATGGACATGAGAGGCTTCTTCCTCGCGTATGGGCCAGGTACAGTGCCGCCATCCCCGGTGTCCTGCTCCCCCACAGCCCCACGGCCCTGGCACAGTATCCCTGCAGCTCCTGGCATGTCAGGACCTCGATGTGGCACTCTGCGATGCCCCAGAATTACAAATAGATGGCAGGATTTCCCCACTATGGCTGGATAACAGGCAGGCTCCTAGTTCTGTGTCTGTTTTATAGCTAGAGAAACAAGGCAGAGGGATGTGAAGGGATTTGATCAGCCCCTCTCTGACATCCCAGCACAGTAACTTTATCCCCTTGCCCTATTTGCCTAAATTTTAGCCTACATTTTTAATTCTATTTGAAACACATTTGTCCTCCTTTTGTTGGTGGATTCACACTCACTAACACAGAGCCCTTTCTCTGGGAAGGCCGCAGCATCCCTCACCCACCTGTCTGATGGGCAGACACAAAACCCCTGGTTTCCATTTCATCAGGCCCTTTAAACACTGCTGAGCACCAGGCTACAGCTGCAGACAGGAGCAAAAGCAAAGAAGAATGTACAATGCAATTATTGCAGGCTATTAAATCGACTAAGCACACACAGTGAAGTAGCTCCTGTAATTAATATTTTTTTAAGGTTTTAAGTTTTTAGACTAAAATTGGACTAGAAGTAAAAATAATGAATATAAACATTCAGAATGTTTTTGTTGGGCTATGTTGTAAATTGTATAGCATGCCACATCCCATCCTGCCCTTGCCCCACAGCACCCCACGCTTCAGCAGCTGAGCCCCAAGCCGTATGATGCCAGCTCCTCTCTTTTGCCTGTTTCCCTGCAGATTTCCGATCCAACTACCGAGCACCTCCCATCAGATCCGTGGATGTTTACAACATCATGTGCAGCCTGGCAGGGATACAGCCGCTGCCCAACAATGGCTCCTGGTCCAGGGTGGAATGCATGCTCCGAAACACGGCCCCCTTGGCACCGCTGGCCCCGCGCAGCTGTGCCCTACTGCCAGCTCTGCTGCCCCTGCTGGCCGTGCCCATCTCCTTACTGTGACCCCAGCACTGCCGCGGTGTCACCAGCAGCGCCACCCCTCTCTTTTCTTCTTCGTTCGAATAATAGCTTCATTAATAGAGTGCCGCCTCCCACTGCTCCACCAGCCGTGAATCTGACCCGTCCTGCCTTTACAGCGGTTATAACAGGAAGCCGGTTCCGTGCTGCTCCAAACACAGCCAGGGATGTCGGTGTTGCTGCTCCAGATCTACAGCACTGGCAACAGCAGCAGAACCCACAAAATTTCTGGTGGGTGCACGTGGGGATCTCTGAGCACCAAACACATCTTAACCCAGCAGCTGGGAGGCTCAGCCTGGCCCCCAGCCAGGCCTGGCCAGCCCAGGGTGGAGATAGACCTCTGTGCATTTAACTGAGTTCTTTCTGATTCATTCCTTCACCTCCAGCTCCCTCACCAGCACAGCCCCAACTTCTTACAATGCCAAGCCCTGTCTGTACTGAGTTGTTCTCAAAGAGCTTTGCTGAGTGACCATAACACTGAGAGAGGTGATGGGTGGGAGAGCAGCCAGAGCATCCTGCTTCTCTCAGCCTCTCTTTCTTCGTTTTCCACAAAGCGAGGCCTGGCCCTGCACACCTCCAGGGTCGGGCTTTCCTCATGGACCACGGCAGCAGGGAGGGCTGGGAAAGGGAAGAGTGATCGAAATCCTCCACTTCAAAACCAGTAGGACAGTGAAAAGTCACCGGGACACACAGGGGTCAGGAGAAAGAAGGATGAGGAATCCTGGCAATTAACAGCCTCTCTGCCTCTCCTGGTGAAGACAGTATAATCTGCTCAGGTTTTGGGGTTTTGTACCTAGTTGTACCTGAAGGCTTTTCAACACTTACTGCTCTCTCCACTGCTGCCTGGTGAGCAGCACATTCCCCTCTAACCTGCGGCAGGGAGAGAGGTCTGTACTGATGGATCTCCCACCCTCTCAGTTAATCCTAGCTAAGATTTCCACCACGGGCTGTCAAGCCCAAGCAAAGTCATAGCAGCACTGTTCAGTAGCAGGAAAGGATAGAGCTATTGTCAGAGGTGCCTTTGGGAGTGCTCAGCGCTTGTTCTGATATACCTCTGAACCAGGAGCTTTCCATGACAAACTGCCTTTGGAAGGATTTAGGTCCCTCCCCATGCAAAATAAACCTCTAGGACTTACTATTCCTGTGGATCCAGAGTCAAGCACGATCCACGTGTGTGCATGTGGTACACTGCTTGTAAGGGTGAATGATTACACTGCAGAAAAAAAACCAAACACCAAATTAAACTTGATAAAAGACTCTGTAATAGCCATAAAGATTTATGTAATGTGTTTTTAAAGCTCAAGTGAGCCATCAAATCAATTGGGGGAAGAAAAAAGGGAGAAAATCAGTCTTTGTTATTAGATTGTTGAGTATAAAAGGCAATTTAGTGCTTTCGAAGCATTTGCAGTAGCTGTAAAACAAGCACCTATTGTTCAGAGTTCCCTGTTGCTCTTTAATGGTCCAGGCTCGATGAATTTGCTGTAGCATATTTTTAAAGTGAAAAAAAATATCAGCATCCAAGAAACCAAATGACTAAATCACCAAGTTTTGTTTGAAAATCAACAGGATGCAGCCAGTGCCTACTAATGCCCCCCTCCCCCCCAGCCTGCCGTTTTAACTCTATAGCGAGCAGAACTCAAGGTCTTCTTACAGAAGAAAAGACCCTAAAATGATAGGGGTATATTCAGCTTCTCAATTATACCAACAGAAATTGGAAACAACAAATAGGGTCCCTCGAGTTGTTCCAAGGATGGAACATGACACATGGAACCAACACTGACCCTTGTGAGTACTTTGTGTAACTCATTTTTGTGACTGGTCATTTTGGTCAGTGGCCACATGCAAGGACCGCAGAGTAAATCTAATTGCAATCCGATTTGTTTGACCTTAATGGAAGCATCGTGTGTACGGCAAAAGGGGGTTTGGTGGCAGACCTGCAAGAAAGAAGCTCATTAGCTTCAGGAGAGCTACAGATTAGTTTTGAGAAGTGCATCTTTCTGCCTGGGAAGCACTGTACCTCTGAATCAGTTTGCATTCTCATTCCAAAATCACATCTCTTGACTCTTGCCTATTTTTCTGTATACTATGCAAAGGAGGCCGGTGTATTTTAAAACCTATTTCTGAATGATGTTTTTATACAATGACTGATTGTGAATGAGTGAATAATTCTAAGAATGGTGTTGGGGAAAATGTGCCTCTTTTTGTAAATGCTGTAAGGTTTGGGGGAAGAAAAAGACATTCCCATAATGCCTTGCCTTTCTGGTTTGATTGCTGCATCAAAGTGTGATAAACAGTGTTTGAAGCTTGTGCTGATTAATCATCAGAAAGATAAATGATAACATTGTTTAGAAATGGCAAAGCTGTCAGCATGTAAATTAGGGACATTAAAAACATCACACGAGATACTGTAGCTTGTATACAGAGTCCTTTTTTCCCCCATGCATTTCAATATTTAACCTGTTGAACATCCTCCCAGGGATATGTAATTCACATTAGCAAATGGACACAACAAACCATTTCTCCTTTGAACAGAAGCAAGCCCAGGATGCTCTCTCCAGACCCACTTCTCCAAGCCCACCACCACATCAGCTGCTTGCACAGAAGTTGGGTGCACTGTACCAGGGTTCAGTTGATTAAGGCTTTCCAGAGCCCTCATGGTAGACCTCAATTCCCAGCACGGGATGGTGCAGATGGCAGCAAGGTCTCAAAAACCAACACCAAGGGCCTTAAGGACAAGGGGCTCTAATCCTGCTTTAAGCTCCACAAACTAACAACGATGTTCATGGAAGAGATTGATCTAATAGAAATAAGTCTCCAGATCTACTCAGTGGGATTTATCTTGTCTTCCTTACATTAATTGACCACATGGACAGCGAGGGGATGATGGAGGAGAAGCAGTGCAGGTATACTAGTAAGCCCTTTAATTCACAGCAAGACCCCCTTTGAACTGGCAGCACTGCCTATGTGTGTCCAGAGATGCTCCCCTTGTGTCCAATGAACATGGGTCACACAAGCAGGAGGGTGCTGAGGGACCACCTGGATGGGGACAGCCTGGGAATCTGTCTCAGCTGCCCATAGCAGTTCCAAAAATAACAATTTCTCACCTAAATGGGATGCAAGTACCAGGACCTCACAACTAAGGGGTGAGTTAGAAGATCTTGTGGTGCTGGCCACCTTCCTTATCTCCTAATTGCTCAACAGGAGTCAGAACTCCCCACCTCAGGGTGAAATGCAGACCACGTGAGATCTGGGAAGCGAAAGGCATTGGAAAAGCTCCGTGTAACATCTCCTCCTCTTTTTCCCTGTAAGGCTGTGCAGGGCAGGCAGGAGGCTGCAAATCCAACAGGATTTTGTTAAGAAAACATGGCCTAATGAAAAGTTTGAAACCCTCTATTTGAGCATAATGAGTCTTTAATAGCTGCTTTGAAAGACAGCTTTCATCTCCATGGAAAAATGTGTTTTATGTAGGGATTGAAACGTTTTTATGTTAAGGGAAGGCTATTGAGGAGTGCTCAAGAATAAGAGCATTTCAGAATGGCAGTTGTCTGGACACCATAATTCTCGAGCTTTGTACAGGTGTTTACAGCTGTATAGATCAGTCTGATAAAATCTGGATTATACAGAAGTCACTATGGACTTGCAAACCAGCATAACGTTATCTCAGATCTGGCAAGTCTGTATCAACGGCACTGTTTCTGCTCTACCAGCCCAGCTCTGTCAGGAAATCACTGCAGCCTGCCCAGTGCTGCCTGGTCTCCCACTATCCCTGCCTAGCACCCATTTAGTGGCTTCCTTTGAAGCCACACCACCACCACCACCACCACCATCCGATGAGGCCGCCTGTTTCCACTGCTCTAACTGGTTTCCTGGCTGTCTTGGAAGTGTCACCCACTGGACCTGCTGACAAGCTCCCGCTCTGGAGCAGAAGACATCCATCAGCAGCAGCACTGCAAGGAGTGCAGTCTCCTGCATCGGGACTGGGATGGCTGGGGGAGGCGAGAGGAAAGAGCCCTCATTTACCAGTGCAGAGCTCAGGGTCTGCCAGGTCTGGGAATACCTTGGAGCAGAGAAGGGGAGAGGCAAGCAGCTTCCTTGCATAAAAAATGGGGTGATTTACATAGGCAGAGCTGGGAAAAATCAGTACATTTTAGGCGGGAGGACTGAAGCGAGCGAAGTAACAATCCAAACTTTTCCTTCACTCTGTGTTTCTCATTGCTATTCTCTCCTCTCCCTCCCCATAATTCTCTTTCTGTTACCCTTTATCCTATAGCTGATTCTTCCTGCCACAACACCAAACCCCACCACGCCAAACCTGCTGACTCCATGCAGTTTCCTGAGTGAGCTTGCTTCTGCTTTGAGTTCAATAGGAGGAAGAACAACCTCAGGGGGACATGGGTGTTTACGTGGCCCTTAATGATCCTTGACAGGAATCAGCTGGATATACTTCCAAATGCAGAGGACTTGGGCTGCATGTACAGCTGTTTGTGTTGTTATTAAACCCTGATCCCACTAGTGGGAAACAAAGCAATGCAGGAGAGGGGAGCAGGGTGCAGCAGGGATGAGTGACACAGCTCCTTGCTTTGTTCTCACTGACAGCTTTGCTCTAGGTTAAACATGGCACCCTTGTGTTAGGCAGTCCCAGTGGTGCAGCTCAGGAGGGCTCTGAGCTCTCATCAGCACAGGGGGACTCTCATTAAAGCAATGAAAGACAGCAATGAAACAGTGAGGTGGGCTGAGGAGTGAGCTGTGGTGGCGGAGGCATGGTGCCCATCCGCTGCACCAGCCCCATGGATCAGACCTTAGCTGAGCTCTGGGGAGCTCATTTCATTTCTCCCTTGGCTGCAGAAAATGAGGCATTTTAATATGAGACCTCTAGCAGCCTTTGGGAAGCAGGGGCAGCAGGGCGCACACAGGAGCTGCCTTTGTGTCCCATGCTGAAGGGTCTCGGGTATGTGTTCAAAACAGGCAGTTCCAGCCTTTCTTCAGTGGTCAATGTGCTGCTCGTCCTACAGCGCTAGAACAATCAGTGCACTGGCAACCCCTGCTTTGTGCTCCCCTGCGCAGGGTAGTTTTGCCCCTGCAGGCCATGGCCATACAAAATGACTCAGGAGGGACCTGCTTCTGATTTCTGAGAGGAGCCCCCCACCCTTTACATGACCCCTGGGCAGAGGGAGGCTCTGTCAAATTCAAGATTAATTTATTAAAAGTGATTATTTGTGCCTATGTATCCTTTCCTCCCTCCTTTCCTCCACCCCTCCACCCACCCACCCATCCATCCATCCATCCATCCATCCCTCTCTCTCTCCATCCATCCATCCATCCATCCATCCATCCATCCATCCATCCATCCATCCCTCTCCATCCATCCATCTCTCTCCATCCATCCATCCATCCATCCATCCATCCATATCTCTCTCTCTCCATCCATCCATCCATCCATCCATCCATCCATCCATCCATCCACCCACCCCCCCCACCACCCCCCCCCCACAAATCTCTCTCCCTTGCTACTCCATCCATGCCTTCACCCTTATTGGTAGGCTTTTGGTAGCAAGACTTCCCATAGCAGCTGTGAAGGAGGACAGAATAAAATCTTAATGTCTTTTAAGATAAAGTTCAAGCACTTTATGAGCTGGATTATCCGACACTGCTGCAGGGGCTGGATGGGACGACCTGGAACACCCCCAAAAATAGTTTTGACTAAGAAAAATACTTTTTTTCCCTTTAAACAGAATGAACTCGAGAGAGCCCTGAGTTTTCCTTGTTTCATACAGCCTCTTTCTGCAAGAACAAATGGGATGGACAAATGCAAATCCCACTGACAAGATGACGTTTAATATCCATGATGTGGGGCACTTTCCAGCAAAAGACAGGCTCTGTTTTACGCAGAAATAGCTGAATGCAAAGGCCCAGCAATTAGTCTTGTGTTTGAAGAAATACAACCCAGTCACAGGGGCTGAATTTTAGATGCTTGCTGCTCCAGTTTGGACAGTGACAAATTAAGGCCCTTAAAAAAGCAGGTGTGGCTCTTGAAGAAGCCCTCTGAGAGCAATTAAGCCAGGAAACCAGCTGGTAAGGGTGCAGATGTGACAGCTAGAGCAGCTTCAGAATTAATACGAAGGAGGAGGATGAAGGAGTTAATGGTGTAGGAGCTGAGGTGAATGACACAGGGTCTGCTCTCCAAAGGGGGTTGCTCCATGGCAGGTGAAGTGCCTCATCATGTGGGATGGGCAGAGCTGTGACAGCCACATGTCCCCACTGCCCTGGAGAGCTGCTCTGCGCCTACCACAGATGGGCTCCAAATGCAGCCCCCACCAAAGGACCGCACAAACCACACCACAGCTTCCCCCTGTGCCCAGGGAGTGCTGCATTCAGGGGTGTCTGAACCTGATGGCCTGGGCACCTCTGGTAATGGCTGTGTACCCCCTGATGGAAAGGACAAGCAGCTGAAGTTGAGGGTGGGTTTTCCCAAATCAGCTCCAATGAGTCAGACCTGCTCCAATCCAGCCAGGTGTTACATACAGTGCTCCATCATTCCTGATCATTCACCATCTCTCGTGTTTGTTGTTCTGAATCAGCCAAGAAAATGGTTATTTTTCCCCATTGAAAATACATAAAATAATTCAGATACATGTCAAATTTTGAAGGATTTGTAATCTGCCACCAGGGTTACCATTTAGGCAGTGTTAGCAGACACTATGAAGGCAAACTATGAGCTCTTTATCATGCTTAGAAAAGGATGCCACCATGATTGTCATCGCAATTTCTCTGTGCTGTTCCTCCCATATTTACTCCTGCTCCACCTCTGTCCACACATCCAGTGGCGTGAGGTACCACTGGGACAGCATTTTGTAGAAGCTACCTTCTACCAAAGGGCAGGTGGGGTACTGGTCCCATTTGCCTCGCCAAAGTCTGCTCTTCCCAAGTAATTTGTGGATACAGATCCCTTTCCCACTGTGAATTATACGGGCTATTTCTCAGAAAAAGCTGTTGGCACAGATCGCTGTGGATGCCTTGTTTGCTTTTTCTCCCCCCCCTTGTCAATAGGAAAGGATTTCTTCCACTAACATTGAGCTTTGGCATCCGATAACCCTTCCAGGAAGCTGAGCACAGCAGTGCTCCTTTTGAGGCTGCTGGTACACGGCAGACTGGACAAGACCTTCACCAGTCTCGACCTCTAAATAAAAGAAAAATATCTCTAGTGAAGAGCTGCTCAGCCCTTGCCTGTCTCTCTGAAGATCAGTATTTGAGCCACTTCTTATTTTCATTGGCCCTATCTGCAGCACAATGTTGATGAAGCATGGGAGATTTTCCATGTAAAAGGAATTCTCTTTCTGCATTCACCCCGCACTAGCCTTGCTGTTTGTCACCAGTGTGGGTATGACAGGCCTGAGAGTGCCGGCCTGGCCAGCATGCCGAATAATAGCTCAGGTGGGCAGCTCTCCCATGGGAAATACCCATTCCCAGTGCCTCTATGCTTGGGCATGGCAGTGATTGCAGCATGGAGAACCTGTTTGGCTTAACAGCTTTCATACAAAGAAATGCATCCTAAGACTGAATAATTTCTCTTATACCGAGGTCAGCATCGGGCCTGGGGCAGGGAGGAGGGTCCCAGGCGGCCAGTAACAAACCCAGCCTCAAAATCCAGTCCTTGCCAAAGATCCTGCAAGGGTGGGACAAAAGAGGTAACCGGAGTGAGCCACAAACACAAACTGAGGCTGTGCTGAGCACACCAACTGCAGCTGCAGGGCTGGGACAGTCTCGGCCAGCACTTTTCTCCTGTTTGAAGGGTTAGAAATGGGATAATTTAGAGCCAGCAGTAGGTAACCAAAGATGAGTCTTACATAATGATCTGAAACTGTTCTGCATCCCCCTTCCAGTTCCCTGTGACAGCCACAGCTAGACACAGAAACACATCCCAGTGATGTTTAAAAGGTTCCATGTACCAGTGTGGTAAATAGAGCCAGTGCCAAAACTTCCCTGCCTCTGAGGGGGAGAAACAATTGCTCGTTGCTTATCCATCTCTCTCCCATAATCTGCTGTGTCTGGAGACTGCTGCCACATGCAAACATCTGGGATGCATCATGAATCTTCTCCTGCTGGAGAGGGATGTTTTTTTGGACACAAACTAAGCTTAGAGGCGCTCTGCAGCCTTTGCAAGGGAACAAACAGCAAGTTATTGCACGTACAACAGGAACAGGGGGAAAGAAGGGAGGCTTTGTTCCAAGACAAATGTGGGAGCCTTGAGGGTGAGCACAACCTTCACGAGCACACAGGGAGGGGAAAGGCTAATGGGTTGAGGCAAGTGATTATGACTTGTGTTTTAGGGGGCTGCCTGAGCAGAGGGGAGCACCGCCAGGAGCACTGAGTGCCTAGCCGGGTTTGCAAGCTATGCCTAGTTCCTACCTAGAGCATGAAGGATGGCAGGTTGTTCTTCAGGCCAGGAGTTAACCAGGGGTAGAGGGGGGCACGGCACTTGGGCAATAGAGAGGAGGAGCACCCATGGCAGTGCTGTTGGGCAGGCCCTGCTGGGATCCATCTCTGCCTTCTCACGGGGCTTCTTCCAGGATCCTACCGTGTCTGTGAATGGGCACCTCCAGGGGGAGCAAGCCCTGGCTGCTCTCTGCTGCCATGTCTCACTCCTGGCTGGGCATTGCTCAGGGACACAACATCCTTACAGCACATCCACAGACACAGGTCAGAATGTACCAGTACCAATCACTGTTTGGTTTAGGTCTGTATGAACCAGGCAGGCACATGTAGCTCCCCACCTCAGCTGGCTTTTGGGAGATGAGCATCCTCTAGCCTCCATGTAATGCAGAGGGTTTTGTTTCTTGTCTTGAGTTGATATCCTTCTTCTCAGACTGGTGGTCCCAGCAATGACTCCCAAGCTACTGATGTACATGCTCACGTCCCTGTTTTAGTGAAACCTGTTGAGTTTTTAAACCCTGATACGGATTCCCTTATTCTCTGTCTGGACAAAAGCACCTGCCCTCCCTCCCTTCCCCTCACATTGCAGAGACCCCAAGCTGGAAGAAATCCGGGCAGAAGCTGGCTGCCTGATGACCTTTCTGTTCACAGGGACTCACGCCATAGTTGCGCCACTGTCTGCATTATCCATGGCACAAGGAGCAGTCATGAGGCAGAATTCACACACTACATGTCAGTGCAGTGACAGATCATTTTCTTCTTTTTACCAAAAAGTAA